AGAAACAATTAACACTCTTAAATGACAATTCAATCATCAAATATTAAAAATGATACATCTATAACATCACAATTATCATGAATGGCCCCATTATATTATATACCCATCAAAACTATTTCTCAAAATATACTTGAATAACCTTATTTAATTATTGTCTAAATACCCGTGTCATTTTGCAATGGGAACCTTTAAGCGGGATGGAGGTAGCATATAATTTGGATAGTTTAAGAAGAGCTTTTCACTTGAGAAATGAGAATGAGTGTAGTTCATTTGATATGTGAACATATATAATTTGGACAGTTTAAGAAGAGGTTTTCATTTAAGAAATTAGAATGAATGTAGGTCATTTGATATGTGATCAAATGTCTCTAAAAGTGCAAAAAATGCTGAAAAAATGAAGAGAGACACAGTGTAATTTTATAATTAAGCTCATTTTAAATCATTATTAATGAATTACAATATTACATATTTAAAAACTAAATAATGTTTTGTTATAGTGAAAAAACCGATTTGGATATGATAAAAATTAGTAAAAAACAGAAAATAAAAAGGAATGGTGTTAACCACATTAATAATAAAATGGCAAACCTTAGAGACAGTAGTTGAATTGGCGAACCTCGCATATGTACGTATTTTAATTTTTTTTGTGTATTTGTGTGAGTTCATTATTGTCTTTGATTATACCAGTGCTTATAAACATTATTCTTCTATTATTATGTCATTCTAGACTACATGGGATAACAAAATCCATATCAAGATACCCAACATATAGGCGTCGCTTTGACTGTAGCATGAAGGTGATCTTGAATGAACTGGCTGCCAAGGACAGTAGTAACAGAGCATCTGCAGTAGAAGCTGTTGCCAGGTCAAAAAGCATGTTTGCTCGGATTTTTAGCCAGAAATCATTAGAAGCCAGCAGTGGATCTGATCATGAGGCTCAGACAGTTGCTTTGGGGAGAGGTTGAATTTCAGTAATACTGAGTGAAATGTTTGTCTATATATAGTTTGGTTAGTTTCTTGCTATGAAAAAAGCTGATTTTGATTGGCTTTAAACTACAGCCTCAATTTGTAAAGTCTGTTCATCAATCAAGAATTGCATTTCCAAAGCAAAAAAAAGAAAGTTGTGATTTGTATGAGTGCATTTGAATGGATTAAGGATGGCCTGACCTTGATCTAAGCTGGTTATGATTCTTTATCATTTTTTGGCCTTCTGAATTCATATGCTGTTTTCACATGCAATGAATGATGTTTATAATATTGATATTCTTCTGGTCACAAGGTTTGCCTTTGAACACTTTTATAAACATTAACAAAAACATTATCGATTCTCCTTCCTATATTAACTGTTTGGCAGCTAAGCTAAATGAGCAAAAACTTGAACCAACCAAGCAGCTAATCTATCAACATTAATCAAGAATGAAGATGCTGTTGGTAGCACTAACAACTGGCATTCTAGTTTGTCTTTTGTGGTCACAGGTTCATGTTGTCCAAGCAACCACTCGCCTCCATCCATTTCTCATAAATCATCAAAGTTTGGAGCAATCTGCTGCGGAATACATCACAGTTATAGGTCAGCGCCATTTGCTGATTTGCATATGATACTTCCTTCCCTCTTGTTCTTCTTGTTTAAGAAAAACATGACATAACAGTTTTCTCTGGGTTTCATTGTGTCATTAGGTTGCATCAATGACTGTGACATAGCTTGCTGCTATTGCGACATCAGGAAGCAGCCGCCCTTCTGTGTGGAATGCTGCAAAGTAAAGCACTGACTGATAATAAATCTAAATATGGATATCATGATCAATATCAACTACACCAAACCTGCAATTGTGATCCACAAGAAGTTGTACACATTTTTTACACACGAAAATTGATGTTCGTGCACAAACATTTTTGTTTGTGGCCTAGCTTTACAAAAATTAACAATTTTTATAATTATATATGTATAGACAAATTTTATCAGTATTTTGGACAACACAAACAATTCTTTAAGAAAATAAAGATAAAAATTCAAATTGACTTTTCGTTTCCAGCTTGTTTTCCAGATCCTCTTCATCTATGATTTATTTTTCGGTGACTCCACCTTTGATTTAATTTTTGGTGACTCTTCACTTCCGGTTGTTTTTCTGTCTTAGAAGACAATGATGGTGTGGGGAAGATTGAAAGATGTAAGTTATATGCTAATGAAAACGAAAACTGATAGATATGGATGTTGTTGAAGACTTGAAGATGAATGATAAAGAAGATGACTGATGGTGAAGATGGGAGGTTATCATGGTGAAGATGATAAGGGTGAGTTGCATAAGTATGAGAAGAAAGGAAAGAGGGAAGAGAGAATGAAAAGAGAGAAGATTGATAAAAATATGGACGTTTATTGTATCGTAATCTTGGCTGGTATTCGAATTTACATCGGCCGTATCCAGAATTTTATCAAGCAAGCCAAATTTTTAGTACATCTATAGTAAAATATAATGATTTTTAGTACTCAACTTATCAAAGGATATATAAAATAAAATAGTAAAGTGAAACAATATACTTCCTCCGTTCTTAAATAAATGCAACCGTCAACATTTCACACTTGCCGAGACACAACTTTGACCATTAATATAAATGATTTTGTATTAGTAAAAAAATTTAAAAAATTAGATTATGAAAATTTACAATGAGACAAGTTTAATAATATTTTTTTCATGAAATAATATTATTACATTAATAAATAAAACGTAGTCAAAGTAGAACATGTGAATAGTGTAAAAGTCAAAGTGTTGCATTTATTTAAGAACGGAGGTAGTATGATTTTTTTATTAATTACAGGGTGAAGTTAACAACTCAATATGTGAGTATCATTAGAAAGTGTATAACAAAGTAAGAGAGGAATAATACTCATTTTACAAACAATAATGAATTCATATTTATAAGGCCTTAACCAAAATTAGTATATACTCCCTCCGTCCCCTTTTAAATGTCTCATTTTATCATATTGGGATGTCCTTATTTAATTGTCTCATACCTTATTTGGTAAAGTTTGTGTGACTCAAAATCATTCATATTTTATTCTTACTTTATTCTTACTTTATATATTAATATCAACCACACAAACCTACTTTTCCTAAAACTCGTGTCACCCTCTTCCGGGACATTTAAAAGGGGACGGAGTATTACATAAATGGGGAATGATCAAATAAGGTAAGAATGCGTAATTTTAGCCATCTTTCATTTTTAACAATTTAATGAGTTTAATAGTTCAATTTTTATGCTAATTAGTATTAACTACTCCGTATTATTTTTAGTCCTTAGATTTAAATTTGTAAAAAGATTGACATTCGTACATAAATTATAATTAAAAGAAACATTAAGGAGTATATCAAGATGCTCTTTAAGGAGCAACAAGTTGATGAGGTGGATGTCTCACATTCGTTCATCTCTTATGATGTATCTCGTGTATCCACTCATCCACGTATTCTTTATAGAGCATGCACAAAATATAGAGTAAATTTAAGTTATGATGAGCCCGTTTAGTAAAACTGAAATCGACTGAATATAGCCAAAATGATTATCTACAGTAACTTCAGCCAATACATCCAGAAAAGTAATTCCAACCTTACTTCTTTTTATTATTACACAATTCAGTACGCGAAATCAAAAGTTACTGTTTGGTGAAAAAGTTTGCTGATAAACCTGATAAGCCGAAAAACTGGTTCACCAAATGGGCTCATATATAAGTTGTTACCAATACATTTTATACACACGTGTATTATATAGAAAAGGGGTTGTGTCAAATTTAAAGAGAAAATGTTTAGAGAGAATTTTCTAAAGTCTAAACAAAACTAATCATACGTTACATGGTATCTTGTTTTTACAAATAAAATCATCAATGTTTTATTCTTAAAATATAAATCGTTTTAAGAGGGATAATTTAACATTCTTTGTTCTCTTATTAGAAGTAAACAAATCATATTGAATAAACAAAACACAATTAATTTTATTTTCACATTCAGTACTTTTTACACGATACTTTTAAATGGATTATAATTTTCTGATTTGGTCTGATATAATATGGTCAGGTCTGTTTATGTCTGGTATTGTCGTGCCTCGATCTGGACTGACCTGGTTTGGTTTTTGTCTGTTAAATAAGTATTTTTAACTCTTCTTATGTAATTTGATTGATTTATACTACCTCCATCCCTTAAAGTTTGTCCCAGTTTAACTTTTTGAATCAAACTTATTAAACTTTGACCGCTAATTACTTAAAATTAATATTATTTTATCCCTAAAAAATTAATTTATATGATTATTTGAAATATGTATTATTCAAATGTCAATTTATTATAGATTTTATAGGTATACATTAATATATAATTACTGTCAAACGTCTATCTAGTTTGACTCAAAAAGTCAAACTAGGACACTTTTAGTCCCTCGACTATTGTGTCAGTGACATTTTTGGTACTCGACTTTTAATTTTTCCACTTTTAGTCCTTGACTATTGTGCGAGAGACATTTTTGGTATCCGTCTTTGAAAATTTCCGTATTTAGTCCTTCGACTTTTGTAGAAGTGACACTTTTGATCCTTCAACTATTGCTATAGAGACATTTTTAGTCCTCCACTTATTGTGTCAAAATCATAGTAGAAGGACTAAAAATGTCAATTTGATAATACTCAAAGGACTAAATGTGGGAAACTTGAAAGTAGAGGACTAAAAGTGTCTCACGAACAATAGTCGAGAAATAAAAATGGAAAAATTAAAAGTCGTGTACCAAAAGTGTCACTGACACAATACTCGAGGGACCAAAAGTGTCAAAAACTCGTTCTTGTTTACTCTTTTTAATACATGAAATCAACCCCACCTTTTTAATAGGAACGATAAAACAATAGATAAATAAACAAAATAAAAATGCGTGGGCAGCACGAGAACTTGGGAAACACGCAGACAGTTTTTCCTTGCGTCCCAAGTCCATCTTCTTCGTATAAATATCCCCTGGTCTCTTCTCATTCTTTCATCAAAGCCAATTAAGCTCACCTTAACCTTGCAATGAGGAGAGAGGGTCGCCAACACGGTCTGGTCCGAACCTGCCCCGTCCTCCCTCCCAATTTGTTGAACCCAACAACGCCAAAGCACCGATACGCCGCCGCCAACAGCACCGCCACCGCCGGTCTATTCACCAAGGTCTCCTCCAAGCCCACTAACCACTCCAAGTTCACCGGCAAGTGCGGCCGCCCCCAATGTTCCGAGTGCCACGACATCCCGGCCAGCAAAGCAAAAGCCAAGGCCAAGGGGACGCTCAAAAAGAGGGCTACCGACGCTGATTCTATCAACAGGTCGATCACGTGGCGGGGTTACGTGGATGCAGCTAATAAAACCGGCCGCAACGTTTCCGGCTTCTCGGCCACCGGAATTCTGGATCATTTGGTCGGCGATTTTGAGGCTGCGGATGAATATGAGGAATGAGGATGATTGTTTAGGCTTGAACTTAACGTTAAGGGGGAATTGAAAAGCAGATGAAAGTGGAGATGATGAAGATGAATGTTAAAATTGTGGTTTAACCAATTCCCATCATGGAAAACAGACATTGTGTTGTATTACTAATTTACTACTCAACATGTTTCTGAATTAAATCATATTAATGATAAATAAATGTTCTTTCTCATTAGTTTTTTTACATTGTCTCTACCTCTTCTAAATTTCTAACAACCCTAGCTGGCAAACAAGAAACCAGATAATTAAAGGTGCCTACTTCTGATTCAATAAATAAATTCAATAAGACGAAATCTATCCGGTCCTGCAACAAGTCAGCATTCTATTCTGCTTCCATCAGTACATACAATATAATTCTTCTTGAATTGTTCATGCTGTTGTTAATGGCGGATCTTGAGTTGGACCTTTATCATGATTTCTTACGAACTCCAGCTTTTGGTACTGGCATATTGATGGCAATCTTTCCAAGTTTTTTAACTGACTGAGGAGGATGTTTCCCGTGGTTCTGCAAATTACCAAAGTTGATGATCATTTGGGCCAGATCACAGTTATTTGGGGGCCAAAACAATACCTTTGAGGTTTGATGTTTTAATGGTGTTGATGGAGCTTCTTCTGTTTTATCATCAGCCTGATGCTTATGATGATAAAAGTCAGGGAGAGGGCGGGCTTTGAAACAGAAGCTTCGGCCCAGTTTCCTCCTGAGCTCCGTTCCTGACTTCTCCTCCTACATTATCCCATTGTTTGTTTCATGAAACTTCCATAAATGATATTTAAGAGTCAAAGCATCAGTCCGGTCATAATGCCTACCTGGTGGACCTTTACTTTGGTTTTCAACATCCCCTTCTTATGTACCTCCTTCTCCTCCACATTTGCATTGAATTTCTCTTCCAGCTTCTATGAAATATTCCATAACCATACCATGAGAATGAAATTCCAAAAATTATGTAAGCAGAGAGACAGAGAGACAGAGATGTTTGACTGAGTGAAGGATATATATTTTACTTGTTTCCTTCTGGCAGCCCTTTCTTCTGTTCTTAGGCGAAAAGGGGTGGTGGTGGAGGATATAGTATAACTAGGAGAGCACAGTTTATTCCGACAGGCGGTCAAAGACTTGGAACAACTGCAATTGCCATGTTATGTATACATCATTCATTCATAAGAGAACATTTTCCAGAAAATAGTACTCCCTCCGTCCCACAAAGAAGTTCCTAGTTTGACCTACACACGTATTTATGTAAGGTAGAGTTTTGTTTTGACTTTCCAAGTATACCCTTACTTTATGTCAAATCAAACAAAAAGTGGGAAAAAAGTAAGGGTAGTTGTGACTTTTTGGTTAAAAGTAGTTTCCTTTTATAGAAATGGGAACTTCTTTTTGGGACATCCATAAAAGGAAAGTGGGAACTTCTTTGCGGGACGGAGTTAGTACTAAACATGAAGGAGGCAGTTGGTTCATGAAATGTAAGATTATCTTAGGTGATGCAATTACATTGCAAGAGATTATGCGATATTACTGTACGGTAAGATTATCCGGTTAATAAAATCACCTTGGTCATGTACAGAAAGCGAAATAGTAATAAATTTTCAACTTGCTATTTTCAGGAAAACCTTATTTTACCAAAGAAACTCAAGTTCTCAGATTATCCTCGATAAACCATACTTTCCTATATGGCCCTGACTTGACTACCTGAGATTCCCAAGGTAATCTTAAAAACGTGAACCAAACAAGGTACTCTCACATTACCTTCATTTGCAAATCTATCTATTAACTAAAACCAAACAAGGTAATCTAACATTACCTTCCTAACATCTAAGGCAATAATCCTAAATAACCTGAACCAAGTGCCACCTAAAAGATTGGGATCGCATCATAGAAGCCCTCAACATCATTGGCAAGCAGAAAAACTTACACTGAAGTTAAATAGTGCCACTTTGGGCCAGAACATGTTTTACTTCCTGAAGCAGCCACCGAAGTCGGGGTAACTGTATAAAGCTTTGCCAATCCCTCTGTCTTTGCCTTAAACATACACAAGAGGGAAAAAATTAGAATGCTGAGAATAAATTTTCACTTGCTGCAAATAAGCTGGCAACTGGATGAAGAGAGAAGTACCAAAGGAGTCATCCTGAGAGGTGTTGAGCAATTATTCTTATTACTATTAGGAGCAACCCGAGGAGTGTCCTTGACCTTTTTCGGAGGAGGCAGTTTAACAGGTTCTTTAGCTGGTTGGTCGGATAGATTTAACAAGGAGCTAAGACATTTTGAAGTTGGTTTATCAGCACCAGTCAAAATTGTGCCGCCATGACTTCTTACCATTGGTGTTGGTGGGATCTTTATTGGGGTTGCGATGGTAATGATTTCTTTGTTCAGATGGTGTTGAGTTTGGATAACGTTGGACACTATTGGTTGTGGTGGAGAAGGATATAACAGAACTTCTTTATTCCATATCTTTCCATGAGTAGAAGATGATGATGATGACGATGGCATAATCTTCCTAAATGATGAAAGACCGGGTCTTCTTTTCTTTGAAATAACGGGAACTGATGATGAAGATGATAAAACTTCCTCCTCCTCCTCCTCGTCTTCTTCGTCCTTCTTCTTAGAATTCAGCTGAACCCAAATTTTAAAAAGTGTCAATCTACAGAGATCGAATAGAAAAAAAAAATAAAAAAAAAATTGCAACTCTTTACTGGTACTACTACATACCTTTACTAATAAAGGTCTCTCCATCTCCATTTGATGAGCCACTTGGCTGTCCTCTGATAACTCAGAAACTGTTTCCTGGGCGTCATCTTCAACAATAGAATCAACACCAGCCTTAGAACCATCTCCCACCTTTAGGACACTGTCGGCTTTGCTTTCTTCTTCATCTTCCTCAAGATGAGCCTGTTCAAGCAACGCCGCCTCAGCAGCAGCTTTCTTGGCAGCGATTCTCTTGTAATGGGCTTCAAAGAAAGCTTTCTTCTGGGCGACCGAACCGGGTCGGGCATACCTCTCGGCCTCTTCGACATACTTGTTGTGAGAGAAAGTGGACCATTTCTCCCAGCCCAATGACTCTGTCATGAACCTCCCGAAAGAGATGGATTCCCCCAGCGCGTGCATCCCATTCCCCTGTCACAGTGTCACCCCATACATTCAATTTCTGAATCTAATCACGCCTACTGAAGAGTGTAGTAGAAAACGGGGTTACTAGATCGAATCTGGAATGGTGAATCTTACCTGCTTGGCTTCATTGGGGGTCGCTGAAGCGTAAGAAAAAGCATGGATTAGACAAGCCGAATCTGCCGCCATTGTTGTCCCCCGACCAGGGACTGGTAGAAGAATTGAATTTACTCGGTATTGTTTACTGAAAAACAGCCAATGCTGCTTGACGAACAAAATTTTGGAAACTTGTTGTTTTATTTTATTTATTACTCCGTATTAATTAATTAATAATAAAAAAGACATGATAATGTGGGAGGAGGATGGCGCCGAAGTAGTGAACAGGAAAGATTCGCTAGTTTCAGGCATTTTTCTGGGTGACAGATGAACAATTTCAGATTTAAATTTGAAATTCAAAATGGACAAAAAGAGGAAGATTGGGCGAGTTATACGTTGTGTGGCAGTTAGCCGCACATTCTGCTGTGGGCCCATCCGGATGTTTCACTCACATTCTCTCCTATATCCTCGCCACCCATTTCTTCCGTTCACAACCCCAATTTTTACCCCATTTTATAGTCCTCTCTATATTTGGTTCACAAAAGTGGGTTCAGCTCTTTTCCATTTTTTCTCTTCATTTTTTCTCCATTTCTTTTTTACTTCCTATATATCTTTACCTTTTTCTCTATCTTACTCATCAACCTACCCCATCTTAAATTTTCTCCTCTCTATATCTTTCCTAATGGAACTCTCCAGTCACCGGAGAAGATCCAAATTCCACAAAAGCACTTCAATAAAATGGAGCAATTCATTTATCGTGTTGAGCTTTTGTGAACCACAAATATAGAAAAGAGGTACAAATGAGGTATCAAATGGGGTACCTTTAGCAAAGCTCTCTTCCGATTAACATTCAGCTTTTGGGGTTGCCGAACGAAAGAATCGCACATTGAAAGATATGATGAACGTGATGCTAGTAAGTTCGGGCTTGCCACAAAATATGTGGGGCGAAGCAATCTTGACAAGCAATTACCTTTTAAATAAGGTTCCCCGGAAAAAATATGATAAAACTCCGTACGAGTTGTGGAAAGGCAGATGGCCTTCCTATCAATATTTAAAAGTGTGGGGGTGTCTTGCTAAGGTGCTTGTACCAACACCTAAGAAAATAAAAATAGGTCCAAAAACGATGGACTGTATTTTTATTGGAATAATCCGGATGTACATAAAAACACAATAATTGAATCAAGGAATGCTTCATTCTTTGAAGATGTATTTCCATGCAAGTCCAACGAAGGGCCTAGCACGTCAAAACGAACATTTGACGTAGCTATGGAAAATACTAGCGAGGGATCCGGAGAAGAACCCGAACCCAGACGTAGCAAACGTGCTAGAGTCGAAAAATCCTTCGGATCGGATTTTCTCACCTACCTGGTAGAATTTGAATCGGATATTCTAACATGTATGGTAGAAAATGAACCGGATTTTCTAACATGTTTGGTAGAAAATAAGCCACGGACTTATACGGAAGCCGTGACGTCTACTGAAGGTCCTATGTGGAAAGAACCCATCAAAAGTGAGGTGGACTCTATCCTAAAAAATCACACGTGGGAATTGGTTGATCTCCCTCCGGGATGTAAACCTTTGGGATCCAAGTGGATTTTTAAACGTAAAATGAAACCAGACGGTTCCATTGATAAGTATAAGGCCAGACTTGTAATCAAGGGATACAAGCAACGCGAGGGCCATGATTACTTTGACACGTATTCTCCCGTGACGAGAATAAATTCCATTAGGATGATACCAGCGATTGCCGCTTTGCGAAATTTGGAAGTTCATCAAATGGACGTAAAAACCGCTTTTCTAAATGGCGATATAGACGAAGAAATCTATATGGAACAACCCGAGGGTTTTCGTGTTCCAAGCCAAGAAAAGAAGGTTTGTAAATTAATTAAATCATTGTATGCATTGAAACAAGCCCCTAAACAGTGGCACGAAAAGTTCGATCATGCAATGTTAATTAATGGGTTTAAGATAAACGAAAGTGACAAATGCGTCTATGTGAAAAGCACGGTAGACGGCTATGTCATTTTATGTTTATACGTGGATGATATACTCATCGTGGGCAGCAATAATCTAATGATTAATTCTACCAAAAGCATGTTAAATTCTAAATTTGACATGAAGGATATGGGGCTGGCCGATTTAATCCTAGGGATTAAAATAATTAGAGGACCTGACGGTCTAACGCTAAGCCAATCCCATTACGTTGATAAAATCCTTACTAAATTTAATAAGGATGATTATCAAGAGGCAAGGACGCCATTAGATAAAAACACTCATCTTACCAAAAATCGTGGAGAGTGTATTTCTCAAGTAGAATACGCTAGGATTATTGGAAGTTTGATGTATCTAATGAGTTGTACCAGGCCTGATATTGCCTTTGTGGTTAGTAAGCTAAGTAGATATACTAGCAACCCCGGTGCTGAACATTGGAAGGCAATAGTAAGGGTTTTGAGGTATTTACGTAAAACCCAAAACCTTGGACTGCACTATGGAAGATATCCAGCTGTACTTGAAGGGTATAGCGACGCTAGTTGGATATTTAACATAAAGGACTCTAAGTCCACAAGTGGATATGTTTTCACTTTGGGAGGTGCAGCCGTGTCGTGGAAATCCTCGAAACAAACGTTAATAGCTAGATCCACGATGGAATCTGAGCTAATAGCCTTGGATAAGTGCACTGAAGAGGCTGAATGGCTACGCCATTTTCTCGAGGATATTCCAAGTTGGGAGAAGCCTGTTCCTCCAATATGCATACATTGCGATTGTCAAGCGGCAATTGGAAGGGCACAGAGCAATCTCTACAATGGTAAGTCTAGACACGTTCGTCGTAGACATAACACCATTAAACAACTCCTCACAACGGGTGTTATCACTGTTGACTACGTGAAGTCAAAGGATAACATAGCAGATCCGCTAACCAAGGCATTGGATAGAGAATTGTTGGAGAAGTTGTCACGAGGAATGGGACTAAAGCCCATGAATTGAAAAGTTCTATAGTGGATACCCAACCTAGTTGGTCCTAGGTTCAAAAGGGACAACTAAATTATAGAGCGAAGGATGGTCACTGTGGGGGTCCCGGACTCCTACCCACTCCTCGTTAAAACAGTGACTCCCGCACGAGGTTAGCAAAAACGTTTGCTTTAATGATTCTAAAATGTTGATCTACTCGATAACATTGGAAGAGTATGCGGGATACTCGTGAAAGAATCACCTATGTGAGAGAGAAGAGGGCCGCTTCAAAGGAGAACTGTAAAGGCTCAGTTCTTTAGAAACTCTTGCAGAACCAGGACGGTGACCCATGGCCAAAACGAGCACACCCATGAGAACGGAACAAAGTTGGAAGGTTCTTGTGTAAAGATAAGTCAATGTTTACACGACGGCAGTATAGTTCAAGGACATCGAGTCTACTAGACAGCCAGTAAATAAACGTGTCTTTACAACGGAAGGTTCAAAGGATAAAACCTACCTCTCCGTATGCAAGGATCATCCGGTGAACACAACATGTCCTTCTATCTTCGTGTCTTTTTAAGTCTCGAAAATCAATTTTCATTCATGTGGGGGATTGTTGGAAAAATGTGTTAAAAATTGCATTAAATGGTCATTTTGGGGCAATTATTTGAGTGAGGTCCACTTCCGATTTGGGTCGGGTCAGAGTGGTTTCGGATTGTCCTTGTTAAGGGCTACAATTCGATATATGGTACGCTCAAAACGGATAACGGGTGAATGAGAAATTGATTCTCGAAGTTCGCTCGTTGAAATGGAAAAACTGGGAAAATGATGAGTTTCTAGTGTGTTTTATCCTGCACCGAAAAACTCAAGGGATTTTCACCCCCTTATAAAGGGAAGCCTCTTTTAAGGAGTTAAGATTCCTAAAGGGAAAGGCTCTCTCTTACGCGTAGGGGGGGGGGGGGGGGGGGGTGCCGATCAAATCCCGAAATGGAGAAGAAAAACCGCGACTCGTGTGTGCGGGCGACCTGCGGACACGAATGCCGTCCAAAAATCTATCTCTCAAGAGATACGGTTAATTTTTGTTTTCTTCCCGAAACGTTTATTTTTCCCAGAAGTGCTCCGGACAGAAGGCCTCCAACAGAACCCCTCGAAGGGGTGTTCTGTTGGCTTTTCGGACAGAAACCCTCCAAGGGGTGTTCTGCCAAACCCTCTAAGGGGTGTTCTGTCGGCTTCGGACAGAAACCCGCCAAACCCTCTAAGGGGTGTTCTGCCGGCTTCGGACAGAAACCCTCTAAGAGGTGTTCTGTTGGCTTCGGACAGAAACCCTCCAAGACGTGTTTTGTTGGCTTCGGACAGAAACCCTCCAAGGGGTCTTCTGCTGGCTCCGGACAGAAACCCTCCAAGGGGTATTCTGCTGGGGTCTTCTGTCGCGCACTTCTTCCGTTACAACAATTAATGTCCAACGTTCTTCTCTTTTAATGCTGCGTTAAATGGACAGTTTGTCACGCCCCGGACCGCATCCGAGCCACGTAGACAACCGCCGTACAACCCGATAAGAACAACAACAGTTCATCCCTATTGAGTTGTACAAGGCGTCTGATTGATTCTATTGCCAAACCGATTAGTAAACACATACAATCAACATCAATAAAACAAATGCGGAAATAATAAAATGTTTGATACTTAGCCACACGTGGCAAACATGGGCACGCAGACCCCCAACTGTTTTAATGAAAATATTGTTCAAAAATCCATGAGCGGTTTATACATTTGAAATAAGAATGGAAGCACGAACCACGTCTTCCTTCTCGATCAGTCACCCTAGGCAAAGGTGCAGGTAGTAGGACTCTAGCCTCAACCTGAAAAATGTGAGGGCCCCCGGAGGGGTCAGTACTCCATAGAAGTACTAGTGACAAGCAGGCTATATGAAGAATAACTAATGTTTCAAACACGAGACCCAAAAATAGGGTGATATATACATATAGATGTCCCTCATCCACCCGATGATACATACTGTATATATACTCGTAAAATACTCAACCCGTAGGTCATTTACCTTAAAGAGTCTTTTAGAGATAAAGTTCTTACCTGACTTTTCTCACTCCTTTCCCGGTTACCTAGCTCACAAGCTATAGTCTACCTTCGATTCATACTACCGAGTGTTTTAGGATCATTTATCGTCCAAGGCACTCAACCCATCCTGGAGTATTTAAGATCATTTACCGTCCAAGGGTACTCGGCCCCACCTGGAGTATTCTGGATCATTTACCGTCCAAGGGTACTCGACCCCACCTGGAGTATTCTGGATCATTTACCGTCCAAGGGTACTCGACCCCACCTGGAGTATTCTGGATCATTTACCGTCCAAGGGTACTCGACCCCACCTGGAGTATTCTGGATCATTTACCGTCCAAGGGTACTCGACCCCACCTGGAGTATTCTGGATCATTTACCGTCCAAGGGCACTCAATCCCCAGTCTATTCTCTACCAAATCCTAACCTGGATATGGCTAACCTTTCATTCCTTTAACTATGGA